AACTTGCTGTTTCAGCAACATTTAATTTAAAAACTGTACTATTGAGGTTAAACAAATGTTCATAATTAATATAAATAAATCACAAGTTAAAAGGGGCATGGAAATTTCTCTTTTTTGTATCGAAAAAATATCGAACCGTGAGACTAAAGTATCAAACCGAACCGTGAATTTCCTGTCTCGTTGCACCCCTAGTATATATAATATAGAGACTAGTTGAACACCATCCCTAATGATGATGCTTTCTTTACAGCATACACTTTGTCAAAAGCATTCCTGAAAAACACATTAAACTCCAGCTGAAAATACTATTACCATGCCTCATCAATAAATCTCAACTTTCAAATGGTTAAAAGCATCAACATTAGGAGAACACATCAGGCACTGAGTGAGACCTTCATTTAGCCCCTCTTAAGCATCCGCCTTGTACATGTGTACACATTAACATATGTTTGTTCCACCTCCACTCATTACTGTCTCTAATCCTTCCATCACTGGGTCAATCAGATGGTCAGCTCTGACGATTCAGTGCTCTGCAGTGGTTAGGTAGGACAGAAACACTAATGATATATAATGTTAATTTCCATAAAGCCTCCAGAGGGTAATAAACTCCATTAGACAGAGCAGATGGAGGCTGCATTGTTAATAGTGTCTAAGATGGTGAGGAAAGCGTGTATACAGTATATCTGTGTGCTTTGGAGAAGAATGGTGGGTATAAGGAGAGCTCCCTTAAGGGACCGAAGGAGCTCCCTTGACTGGTAGATGTCACCTCGTTTACAGTGATATACAGTCCAAAACCAGAATCCCAACTGGACCATAAAAATAATTTGCAACAAACAAGCACATAAACAGAGCCAGACAGTCATCTCGCTCAAACCACTACGGGACACAGAGTTTGTAATAGATCACTAACAGCCAAGCAAAACAAAACAAAAACAAACAATACATTCTGCCATCTATTCACGTGGGCGCCACAGGTCCTGATTCCGACACTCACATGAGATCCGGTCTGTATCGGTGAATGAGGGCACACAGCGCCAAGCCGCTCTTCCAAGACATGGTAAGGTCCATCACATAAACATTCCTGTATCCTTCTGTTTGTCTCTGGCACCAGTTGAGCAGTTTACTGGATCGAGCGATGGATTCTGTTGTGGGTAACACAGATGAAGGCTTAATGTTTTAGTAGCACACTGAATGGGACCTGGATTTAAAATGAAAGGGAGTATGAGCAACAACTGACTAAACATAAAAATACAGAATACAGTCATCCATGGCTTCAGTATCAGTATTAGTACCAAATTCATAAAGCCATTAAAGAAATATTACAAACTGTGATGGAAAAACTTTTACCAATGTACAGAGAAAATAAATCCAAATAAGAAGTTAGAGGATGCAAAACGAACAACAAACATTTACTCCCAAGTTTTTTAAGAAGTTGAATACATCCAAGGAGTTTTACTGAATGGGTTAGTGCACGCAAAGGATATTTAAGCTGCGCAATCCAGAGTTTCAACATTCCACTGTTACTTTCATTGTATTTTGTCATACAGCAGGTAGTCTTTCAAACTGTTAAAACTATTAGAAAACCCCCAAAAAAGCAACACCATGCATTTGGATTTTGTTACCTTGCAACTGTTTGTCAAGCAGGTAATAGTCTGGAGTAAAAATAGTTCATTATTATTACAATATGATAAATCCTACACTGATTAATTAGCATTAAGAGGTGATGTGTTTCTGTGCAGGGCTAATCCTAATCACCACAGACAAACAGTGAAGAGAATTCCTGGTAAGAGGACAAGTGTTTGGGTCTGTCACACCATCAAATAAATGCACACAGGCTCTGATGAGAACTTGTACAAGATCTTGTTGCTATAAAACAGGGTTGCTGTGCCAAAAACAAATCACTGGTAATTTTAGGGTAACCATATATTTGCAGTTATTATTTGCATTTGAAAGRTTGTTTGCTTTTAAGATTTCTGTTCGCTTTTTAATGTCCTAAAATTTGCTTTAAAGTGCCTGTGACATGCCCATCCTTCAAATACAAAAAGTCAAAGTAAACATCTTTATACTTAAGAAAATTGGCATAGTACAGATTATTTTACACATTTTGTCACATAAACGACCTATTTTCTTTTGAATTTGGCTCAGCTAAAGTGAAACAGGAAGTGACATCAAAGGGGAACTCAATAAAATAAACTCTGGTTTTTGTTTGTTAAAACACAATTATTTAAACATTAACTCTTCTTCGTCTTYCTTTGATAGCGACTCAAAATAATCTAAAGAAGCATCAAATTATTCTCTACAGTCTGTGTTGTAACAACGCTCTGTTTACATTCAGACATTCCCCTTTGACATCACTTCCTGTTTCTTCACATGTTAATATCTCAACAACTGTTCATCTCAGCGGCGTGAGATTTGTTTTGCAGTATGTTATCATTGTTACCTTTCCAAAAATGCATTCATGTTTATTTAAAAAAGTAGATGTCACAGGCCCTTTAAAGCAAATAAGTAAAAGTTATAGACTAAATACRTTACTGTGTCGCACATTGATATTCCAATTCTGTAATTAGTTCTTGTGTTTTTCAATTAGGTTGTAGGGTGGAGATTAGGATTGGACCACTGTCTTCTTTTCCTCTTAAATAATTATCAGAATACACAAACCATTCCTGGCCAACTTTGGTGTGGACGAGTTGATCACGTTCTCAATTTCAATGCGAATTTCTCGGCACACCCCCGTGTCAAAGAGGTGCCTGACCTGTAACATGAACACCATTATCACATATTTAGTCAAGAATAAAACTAGTGGGAATCAAACAAGCACAGAATAAATGCGACCCATCATATCGAAATGAGGATTAAGTCAAATTTGGTCAAAATGACCTAATTACATTTTCAGATTCTTGGCTTTAAAAGCTACATTTTGATGCCTGGATCATTCTGTTATCATAATTAAATCCATATATATATAACTCAGTTTGTCTTGTTGGTTACAGTAATACAGAAATATTTGGTCTGAATCCTAATTTTATGTCCCTTTAATGAGGAATTTTTTGATGTCCTTATAAAGAGGAAACCTCAAATTATATTTGAATATTGAGATTTCCCAGCTAAAAATAAACAAAACTTTGCTAACTCACAGGGAAAATCTCAAAATTTTAAAGGCATTTTTCCTCAAAATCAGTTTTTTTGTTGCTACTGCTCAAAATAGTGCTTCAAAATTTTGTTTTATGATTATATTTCAGGCAGTTCATTGAAATGATACATTGATAAGGTTATATTTTGACAAAATGCAATTTTTGTTAACATTTTAGTCAAAACACTACATTTGCCTATTTCTCCTTATGCCACTTTTGGACTTAATCCTCGTTTCGATGTGATGGGTCACAAATTACATCCCAAACTTCAACTACCAGGTCTATTTGTAATGACTTAGCAAATTGTAAAATTAGTCTGATGCTCTGTGACCACTCGTGCTCACCTGACTGGGCCTGAGGAAGTTAAGGCTGATGTTTGGGTAACGTGTGGTGGGATCCACGCTGTAGTGGCTAAAGTTCTTACTGACATTTTCTGGTGTTGTCTGAGGCAGAAGTCGGTATATGCTCTCTCTGGAACACAGAATGACAGATTAAATTGTTTCCTCTATAAAGAAAAGGCAAAGTCTAATAGAAAAAAAAGAACAGACATTATGGGAAAGCTTTAACATTACTTTCACAAAGCACTGTAAAGTACTACAGAACCATGTAGTCACATTCCATTCAGGCCTTATGAGAGCTTCTTATCCCATTAGTACTAGGAGAGATGGGACAGAAGCTTTAAATCGCATATGGGCACAATTCCTAGTAAAGCACTTAGAGATAAAAGGGTGTGTCTGAAGAGAGAGATTAGGCATGTGTGACTTATAAGTGTGTAAATGTGAGTACAAGAACACAGTGAAYCTCTATGTCTGTGTATATCAGTGTTTCCACATTCTCACCTCTCAGCTAGAACCTCTAGAGGGGTTTTTCCTTGGGCCCAACTCTTCACCATCCAGCCCGAGTCCATGGCTGCCAGGAAACCTCGAGCGATGCCGGTGCCCATGGGCCAGAACGGCTGAAACCAAGCCAACGCCACATTCAATAACCAAATATGGCCGCAAATACGAGCAAAAGGATAYGAAGAGAGACTCCGACCTAAAAATCTCACCTCCAGCAAGCTGTCACCGACAAGCGCCACCAGCAGATTGTGACCACTGCGTTGGCGCACCATGGCAGCGTTCTCCGAGGCGTACATGCAGGTGAAGTCGAACATGGCAACATCTGGCTGGCCATAATGGTTGATGGCGAAGTCCAATGTAGGCAGCTGGTGGCTGGTGGAGAAATCCGCAGCCTCACGCGCATAAGACAGCAAGGCGGCCTGGTCCACGTTAGCTCTGGACAGGAGCAGCTCGGTGTCTGCGTAGTCCTATAAGCGAAAACGCAAAGTGGGATCAGAGGCGGTACTAACAAAATAACAGAATTAGAAAAGCCAGAAAAAATGAAAATAACCATAAATCACATAAATATGTRAAGAATATAATGAGACATGAAACTCCCAACATTTATTAATCTATCKTTTTGCTGATGCATTGCTGAAAATATTCCAGTTGAGAGACAAATAAAAATATTTGGAAAAAGTTACATTACAATTTAAAATAATTCAGAATCAATGAGATAAAAGTGTTTCATAAAATTCGACTTGGTAATTATTGTACAACATTGGTAACACCAACAAAAAGGCAATAATCTTCCTAAACCTTAGTTTGGTTAAATAAATTATGGTAGACAACTGTTCTACTACCAATCCCAAAGTCTAACCCCAGATTTACGCTGCCTGCGGCTCAGACCTGGTGTAAAGCACCGAGGTGCTCTGAGAAGCATGTGCAAGAAATGCAAGATGGTACAATAAAAATAGTGATAAATGTGGAAGTCAGACGAAAATAACTCATTCTGAGGAAGATGGACTGAAAACAGCAGCTGAAACTGCATTACTGTTGTCTTTTTTTAAATCGATATTTCAAAATAAAATCACACGTTCTGTGTAAATGCATATGCTTCATGCTGCAATCTGCTTCCCAAAGAATATATTTTGACAGCATGCATGTGTAAATATACACATATATTTAATATAGCTAGGATTTCAACAAAATGTAGTCTGTTTTTGGAGAAATATTTTGAAAATACAGATGTTGTGCTTGTTCCTTTTCTTGTTGGTACGGTGTGATCTTTGTAGACTGACTCCACACTTGCCCCATAGTCCAGCAAAAACAGGATCAAATCTAATTGTGGCGGATCACGGATGCAGTGTAAAAGCTTTCGTTGACTATAAAGTTGTTGTTTTTTTTACTACAAAGGTTGTTCTGAAGCGGGCGCAGTGTAAATTGGAGGTAAATCACTGGTACGAAAGTTTACTGTGCTGTTCACAGTCATTCTTTAAAAACACATCAAATCACCGCATGATTTCAAAGTGACATTTTTCTTAGTGGGAGGTGAGCAACGCATTTTTCTATCCTCAAGCTGAAGGGTTCAACAACAACCTTAGCTCTGTTAGCTGAAGGGGAGGACAGGGTAATGGACGATATGAAGTAGCAACTAGTGTATTTCTGCCTCGAATACTACTGAAAGGCTTCTGTTCCTTCCACCCTTTCTTTATTTCTTTTCCTGTAGTTATTTTCATAGCTGTGAAAAGATCTGTCTGGCTGGATGTGTGGTTTTACATCTAATATGAGGGAAAGCTGTCTGAAAAACTACTAGACAAACCCAAGGCACCACAGCACACCTTTACTTTACTGCACATGAAGAGAGACATTTAAAAAGGCCTTTCCTGTTTCCTGTGGAAAGTGCCCAGCTAAAGGAAACTACTGTACATAGTGAGGACACAAGAACTCAATGAGTGCTTGAGTTACCAGTATGTTCCTGAACACTGTTGGCTTGGTTAGGCCATTAGGCTAACGCTGGGCAAAATCACAAAGAGAAGAAAACAGCTGAAATAATGAAAAGAGACGTTTTCTTTTTTGGTGGGGGCTGAGCTGATTAAAGTTCAACATTATCGTTATTGTGATCATTTCTGCATCTATATAACCTTTGTGTGAACTAYAGTGAGACAAAAATTAGATTCAACCGATTTTTTTTTCTTTCAAACGGGAAGTACCATGCTGAGATTTAGGCTTTGATCACTCACACGCAGAATGACTCCTTTCTCCAACAGGCTCTGTTTTTTGGCAGTCATCACAAAGTAATGTGTGTCGTCCTTGTAGTAGACAATATTTTCCAGGTCAATACCTAAAAAGAGCAAAAAAATGAAAAATAAAAACGATGTTTTGTAACACAGTAAGCCACGTCCTTTTCCTTAACGCAATAGCATGCGGTCTTGTCATCATTTGAGAACAAAAGCRGTAATTAAGGGACTCTGAGCAGATAACAAAAGCCCCAAGAACATTGTCAAGTCAGCAATAAAATGTGGCAGGCCTGGCCTCAAACCAAAACACTTTAATTGGGTGTGCTAACAAAATTCAAACTCAGATCTAAAATAAAATATATTTGCTCTATTTATTTTTATTTGTTGACCTACATTGCGCACAGAAAACAKACGGAGAGCCGACAATTACCAAACTGTGCTATGACTAAAAAAAACTTCTTTCTATATTACCAGAAACTAGCACTCTTCCAGGTGTTTCTAATGTATTTTGGAAGAATCCTCTCTGGCTGAGTGAAAATAACAAGCTACTGCTATGACAAATACTACAGAGTCACTTCTACAGCAGTGTTGAAGCACAGCAGAGAGGAATGTGGAGGAACCTGCAAGCTACAAGTTAGCAGGTTCTACTTTAAAACTTTATTTTATTACCTTTTTTTACCTCTTCCTATACAGTACAGTATGTTCACCTGATTTATCTTTGTGTGTCCACTGAAAATGAGTTTTTTTTTAAATTTTATTTTAATGCAGAGGATTTTATGGCAGAGTGTGGAAATTTATCACAGACAAAAATATGTAAGTTTAGTAACTTAACTAAAGAGAGTTTTGTTGCAATGARATGTTAAATAAAATTCAGTTACAAGCACACTTATACTGGAGCAAACTATTAATGCTTTTTATTAATTAATTAATTAATTTGTTTGTAACAGTTTTCTATTAAAATTTAATTTTATGAAGTTATACCTTTAAAAAAACAACTGAAGCGATGTGATATAAAACAGTAAAAAGGCAGCACATGGTCACAAAAACATACGTCTTCTGTAGACTAGACCAGAGGTCCCAGGAYCCCCAGGGGTCCGCGAGAGGTACCTTGGGGGTCCTCAAAAATTTTTACTAAATTGTTAATTTGGTTTTTAATTTTAAAAATGCATGGAGAACAATGGGCCTCATGCAASAACCGTTCGTACGCACAGATTTGTTCTTAAATTGTGAGTACGAGTGATTTAGGAGAATTTGTGGCATTCACCAATGTTTTCGTATTCTACGATTTTTTTCAGATATGAACAAAATTCACGAGTGGTCCAGACCTGTCGTATATTTTACGAACAGCCAGTCTGCTGTTATCCAGACGGGTTTTCTTCACTAATAACTTTATATTTCGTTAGTTTGAAGATATTTTGAGTTGAAAATAAATCACACTCCATAATTATGTTGACAATAGGCTATTCTGCTTGAATTAGAGTTATAATTTTAAATGTAATAATTTAGACTAACAATAAATTGTCCGTTCGTCCGTTTTTCGCCGCCTATACGGGATCGGGTGCGGGGACAGCAGCAGAGAGACCTCCTTCTCCCCAGCGACACCTTCCAGCTCGTCCTGGGGGACTCCGAGACGTTCCCAGACCAGAGGGGATATACTGTATGATCAAGTCCAGGATTTTCTCCAAAGTGCCAGACTTATTGTAAAAACATTTAAAAATGCTTATTTCAGACCCGCATCTGAGACCACCTGCGCCGCGCAGCGCTGCGGCTTCTGAATAAATGAAAATGATTTAACACAGTTGTTTATTCTTTTAGCAGCTCTTTTTATCCCACAGCTGAGCTGCTAAAAATGAGAGATTTTCTTTTCTGGATCTCTGACAGACGGACTTCAATCTCTGAACGCGTGTTTTATTTTTTCAGTTTTCGCTGTCATTTTCATGAATGAATRAACACTTCCTTGTATCTGAGGCATAGCTTTATATGGTGTTTTTGGGGTGGTAATTATGCTAATCTCCTCTCGCGTGCACGAGCAGCTGGATAGAAAAGGTGTAAATTACGCAGCTCATTTACGCACGTTTCCTGAAGATAGAAGAGTTTGTTGAATCTGACGTGACATGTTCGTACGAACCCTTTGTACGAACAAAAGTAAGAGAAATTTAGGATAAAAATACGAACATGTTCTTGCATGAGGCCCAATGAGTTAATAAAACAAACATGATAAACTTAATAAAAATATACATTCCCATGGCATTTAGGGGTTGAAATGACAATAAATTATCTTTTAAAACAGCATRGGGTTTACGAGGGGGTCCCTGGAATTTTTTTTTGCCCTTGTAAGGGGTCCCCAGACCCAAATGGCTTGAGAACCCCTGGACTAGACCGTCTCATTTCAGTCATTTACGCAGCCCAYATGAGCGGCCCACGGCCCACGTCAGTTGCAACCCATGACCTGAGACACAATGAGGCAAACTGAAGCTGACATACCCGTTGCCTCCCTGAGATCTTGAAAGAACTTCTGATTAAAGATAAAGGCTACGCCGCTGATCTCCTCAACCTTTGCCTCTGCCGTTGTATTCCTGTTGATGAAGTTAGCGGTGATGGCGATAGCCAGCTTTCCCCGGAACTCCTTACGACGAAACCCTGAGGAATTAGACAAAAGTTTAAGATCAGCAACCAAACATTTGGACCATAAATTCACTGTTGACAAAAGGTAACCACTCAAACCACAAAATTGGATCAACTCACCAACGATATTTGCTTTCAGAACAGATCAAACCTCCTGAAAGGTTTTAAATGTAACCAGATGTTCAACATCTGGACAACGAAAACAGTTTTTTTTTGTTTTTCCACATTGTGTGAATGCATTTTATGGTTACTAGGTCTCTCAAGGGGAGCATGACTTCCTTTTATACATATAACTATTAATAACGTAGATAGGGTTCGTGCACCTGCTCCACAGGGTTCACTCTGCCTGTGTGGCGGTGATGCCCCAGCACACATAAAGGAAACAAACAACCAATTCACTAATTCCTATTCTGCTGTGCCAGGAGAGCAAATACTCTTTGAAGTTCAGTGTAGCAGCTAGACACAAACTTATGCACAGATGTACTCTTTCATACACGACGAGCAGAGTGAGGTCAGCTATCCATCTGCAGCTGCACCGGTGACATCATAATCATTCTGAGTGACCTCCAAGTCAGCTCAGAACAAAACAAACAGCACTGTTGTTGCTTTGTTTAGTCAATGAAAAACAACATACTTTCTGCAGGAAAAAAACCCACCTGGTAGTGTGTTTCTCCTTCCATCTGCTCCAATGATGACATCAAACTCCAACTCACTGACAGGGTGTGTCCTGGGGTGGACCTCGGCCCTCCAGCCTATCCCTGAGAAAACACAGCATACGTAATCAGACAGAAATGCAGTCACAGCTCACAGCGTCTTTTACAGTACAGTAGGCAGATCTTTAATGAAACTGATAATCCCTTTCTGTTTACTTTTCGTGGGCTTGTCTGGCAAAAACTGAAGTTGCTTACTTTCACTCTCTTGATCTTCAGGGGGTTCGATAAGGGCCTTAAACTCTACATTGACATGGATCTCAATGCCCAGCAGGAGAGCCATTTTGAGCAGCATTAGCTGAAGCTGACGAATACCTACAATTCAGAAAAACAGCAACATTTTCAAATGCCTTTTTCAATGCAACTAACTTTAATCCTGCATGTCAGAGAAGACAACGAATACATAAATAATAAAAGAACATCAAAGCAGAAGTATCATATGCACTCACTGATATGGTCAATAGCACCAGCGCAGAACTTCCCATAGAATTTCTTGGCCCCAAGGCCCCTGAGATCTTGGATTGTGAAGGGCCAGAGGTGCAGCACATTGTTTCTGGAGAAGGCATCTCTCTTCTCCAGAATGACCACTTTGGCCCCCAAAAAAGCCAGCTCGATGGCCGTACGCAAGCCACATGGCCCCGCACCGATGATCAGACACTGAATACAGACAAATGCACACGATGCAGATAGTTTTATTAGCCATGTCTGCCAGTTCTTCACTTTTGAAAAGCAAAGAAAAGATGTCCAATAAGAGTATTGTCTACTGATGCACTAGAAAAAGTTGAATGATTAGATGATCTGTTTTTTTGTTTCAACATTATTTGCCGTATTCTTTGATTTTTGCACGTAACAAAATCTTGTTTTTAACGTGTCCTTGTGCCATCCTGTCCTTGCAATTAGTGATGTAACGATTCATTGATTTATCTCGATATATCGATTTGAACGATTCATGATTCAGTTATAGCAAGCAAAATGAAAATATCGATCTATATCATCATCATATGCTCGATGGGAATCAATATTATCTGCCCATCTAACATAGTCATTGTGTTAATGGACATATGATATTGCATTATATCAATCGCAGACGTGAATTGAATTGAATCGAAATCATATCGTGACAGACTTTGTGACATTGAGAAATATCGAATCGTCATCCAAACATATCGATGTAATATTGTCTCGTGATAAAGCAGGTGATTTACACCCCTACTTGCAATACAGTATATTCTGGTTGGTAAACATAAGCTTCACATTACGTGAGTCTTAGACACTGTAGATCCCATATTTCATTCTGCTCGCTCTTACAGGGAACAGGAGCCCCAAACAAACCACCTGTTGAAGCTTTAGATGACTTATCAAGTTTCCACTGATGAGGGATTACCTTTATGTTGGCACAGGCACGTCCTTTCTTGTACTCCTTCTGGCTGGCTCTCTTGTCTAACTTTGCCCAGAGCGCCTTAGCCTTCCAGTAGTTAAGTTTGGACTTGAGCTTGTGATAGAAGATCCTGTGCTCGCTGGGCTTGACTTCCAGGTGTTCACAGAGCTCCTGGAAGGCCTTGAGTATGCCTTTGCATGTGGTTGCCTGGACAAAGTTGTCAAACAGGACATGGGATTTATTCACCCCATCTCCTCCAGCTGCACCAGCACCTCCATCCCCCATGGTCCAGACTCGCGAAGGGCTGTGAGGGCCCTTCACCCCACCCTATAGGGCAGGGGGCTTTGGGTCCAGCCCCAGCCCTGTAAGAGCCTCTCTCTGGTGGAGGGCTTTAACTTCCAGCCTCAAGCATCTTCATTCTACCAGAGAAAGGAAGACAAGTAAAGAAAATAAATCAAAGAGAAGCAACGGGCAAAACTCAGACTTACAGACATGTTTTGAAGTAAAAAATTTAAACTATGCCAACATCTCAAAATCAGTTTGGAAGTAGGGCTGCCACGATTAGTCGATTAATCGACGACTAATCTATTATTAAAGTAATCGATGACTAATTTAATAATCGATTAATCGATTTTTTTCTTTACTTTGTTTTTCTCTTCAAACTGCTTTGACACCTTCCACTGCCACATCTGCCTTTCTGTCCTTGACACACATGCACACTAGTGGTAACTGGGGTAGGCTGTGGACGTCACAAGACATTATACAGACAGGCTCTGGTACTATGGCTACCCGGCAATGGAGCTCAAAAGTGTGGGATCATTTTAAGAAAATGAAGGAGAAACCTGTGCAATATCTGCAAGGCAGAACCTGCCTTCCACAGCAATTATTTTTTGTTAGCATATAGCTAAAATCTAACCATGGTTATACAACAGCAGCTGCATTCTGGCGCGATAAGCTSYATGTTTTATATTCAATTAACGTATGATTCGATTAGTCGACTAATCGAAAAAATAATTGATGATTAATCGACTATAAAAATAATCATTTGTGGCAGCCCTATTTGGAAGTTCAAAACACAATAGTGCATAAACATGTGTGTGTCATAATGATTCCAGACAAAATCTCAGCACCAGATCGCAAAAGTTCAACATGAAYAATACACAAATCCACATATTTAAGATAATTGTCTGGCAGTAGTAAGATAAATTAAAAATTTCACTTATTATTACAGTTTTCTCCATTAGAGGTGACTCTCTTGAAGAGTCATATTAATGTTAGTAGCATGCTACGACATGCACCAGCTTTTTCTTATGTTTCCAACTTTTTCGTCCTCAGAAAGACAAGATCATTCATGCTCTCTCCGGCATGTGAAGCTTTGTTAATAAAAGTGGAATGACTTTATAGATCAACTATGTAACAGAAATAGTACTTAAACGATCTTTAAAAGTAGCATTTAACCATCGAATGGGGTCAGTACAAAAGGTAGATAACAGTGAATAAAGAAAAAAAATGTGCTTTGACAAAAAGTGTGTCGATAGGATAAAAAAAAAAGTGATGTTCTCCTGGAGGGAAAAGATGTGGTTCATTTGTGGCTAAATATGCTTTGGCAAGCTGCAGCTCTGCTTTGCATTAGCTCCCCGAGGAACTGATGCAGAAACTGGTTTTGCTTGTCTGAAGTTCAGAATGCTTGAAAAATACAATAAATTCACTCAGGTTTCTTTTGACAACTACTTTAACACCAATACTAATCACTCAACCCATTATTTTCTATATATTAACATTTTATTGTTCCTAGTAATTAAATGTTATGCACTTTACGGCCTAAGTGTCTCAGGGATTGATTTTTTTGATATGATTTAATTTAATCTATGTAGGGTTTAACATAAAGTTAAGTAATTGTTATTTATTAAAGGAATTATTTATCCATATCAGAAAATCAAACATTAACTATACTGGTATTTTGGGAGGAAACACTTGTCCTTTCTATCAAAAGGTAAAATGATGGAACCAACATGCAACAATTTAAAAAGCCTGTGTGTTTATAACATCGACAAGAGAAGTGAGGATTAAAAAGAATGCAAAAGCTCCCAAATGTAAAAAAAGCAAATAAACAAAAATACAGTTAATTTGCTGACTAGCATTTCAAAAGATTCATATTAATTATGGTTCATATCTTATTTGATTAGACTAAATTAGTTATTAGCAGGTCTGTCTATTGTTTCAAATTATTTAAAAACTTTGTGTTTGTAAGTTTAACAATCAAATAATTAATTTATTACATTTTTATTAGTTACCATGTTAGGCTACAGGTAAAAAATAACTAATTAATGAAATGGGAAATCCTTCTAATAAGAACCTAAAGTACTCTAGACTCAATTCTAAGATCCCAGAAAACACAAATGAATGCAATATTTTAAAATACCCCATTTCTCTGTAAAAACTTTGCATTTTAATATTTAGGATGCTGTACTAGTAAATGAAAACTAATGTAGTCTGAGTCCCAGCAGCAACACATGATGAAAGGAAAGAAAGTACAGAGGTCAGACGGCCTCCTTTTCACACTCTGCCAATTTTCACTGCAGTGAAAACAACAGGCCCTGAGTTTGGCTCTGCCACAGACAGTTAGGATCAAGACTGGACCATACATTGCCAGAACAAGACAAAAACAAGCCGCTTACCATGCATAACCAGCCAGATCATTTACTCTGTAGAATTTTTTTAAATACATAAACTGACTTTAACGGAGGTTTCTGACCATAACCACAGGAAATATCTGCATCAGCAGAAGTCTGTGTTTAGCTAAAGTGTATAGAAAAAAAAGACCATATCATCAATCCCAAGAATGTATTTATCATTTGCTTGCCAATCCCAGGTTTTTGAAGTAAAAGTGTTTAATGGCATGAATCAGATTATTGGCCATTTTTATTGGGCGGCAACCCTAACTTTGGCCCCTCTTAGTAATGCAAATTTTSTAAGAGATACATTTATAATGTCTAATGTGGAGGTTCCTTAAATAAAAATGTTAAAGATGGGGAGTTTATGTTCAGTCTTTGGTTGTCTTACCAAGAAAGACTAAAATTTATGTTCTAAATTCTTTTATTTCACTTCTGGATTCTTGCTTGAATATAAACTATTTAATTTATTTAACAATACACTGATCCACATCAATATATCAATTAAATGATTAAACATTCAATTACATCGAGGCAAAACAAAAACATTGATCCATATGGTCATCATATGTCCGACGTAGGTCCATAATTTGCCCAACAAACATGATTGCGTTAGATAAACGTTGCATCCAACCCATTCTCACTCCYGGCTCAWCAACATATAGAMRCTTGGTCAGGTAMCCRTCTGCATTCAGTTTTGGACGCGTTGGGTACCCCCCTCGCAACAGTTCTTAACGAGCTGAGATGTAGGAGGAGGGGTGCGTTGTCATGTTTTTGAAAAGAGCAAGAAATGCGCAACAACTAACCATCTCAGACCCTAAATTTAACTTCTATTAGCCATATACAGCCTATCCCGACCTCAGTACCTAAAATTAACCATTAATCCTGATCCCTCATGCTAACCACAGACCCCCAACCCAAAGACCCCTAAGTGGCGCAACCAGGAAAAGCCATATAGACGGCAATGACTGACGCGAGGGGGGTACCTGATGCGTCAAAACTGGACGCAGACGGTACCTGACCAAGCATCAATAACGTGTTGTTGCATCATATCCATCACAGGCTTGTGAATTTAACTGAATCAAAATTGTATCATGATGACAGACACTGCAACGTTGAGAAAACATTATCGTCATCCAAACTAATTGTCCTATAATCTTGTATTGTGATAAAGCCGGTCATTTAAACCCCTAGTAGTATAACCCAAGAATATTAATATTATTCTGTAATAAAAGTTTCATTGCTAAGTATAACACGTACTGAAAAGTTTTGTCTACAGCATCGTAGACATACTGAAACCTTTTAGTGATAATATATTAGCCATGTGGTTACAGGTGTGTGTCTGACAAAGCCTAACTACAAAAAAACAGACACACTTCTTAGTTATTAAGAATCTCCTGCAAAGACCAACACACTGATTCAACAAGACAAGAGGGCAAAGTGATGAAAAGAGCACAAACACCATTACCGCATGAAAAAAAATAAAGCTCTCCGAAGAAAATACCACAAAATTATTACAAGTAAATCACAAAAAATAAAAAAATTAAAGAGAAAACTTGTGCAGCATAGGCTTTTTCCCTAGATCCTGATTTTCTCTGGCTGAGCTGTGGGATTTCACGTAATCACATAATTTATTCAGGAATTACACACAAACATGCCAACTCAAACACATAGCAACACAGTACCCGTCTCTCTCATGCTATGCACACACTCACACACTCAGCATGCCTTTACTTTGTGTTGTTTGTATTACGTCATCCACTGATCTAAAAATAGACCAAAAGATTAGGCCACTAGGCTTCATGTTTCACATCACAGCTCCAAAACAGGCTACACAAATTAGATGGTCCAAAATAGATAAACGTTTGTAAAACGCAAATTAATGCAAGACATAGACCAACTTTGTGTCTTTGTTAATATTGTGTTTTGATTTGTTTTTATACCTGAAATTGTGATAAAATAGGATTTAAGCCTGCATTTTTTTTCCTGAGTTGTCCGCCCTTCATGGTTCATCGTTTAAAAATAATAATTGTTAAATCAATTGGCTGAATTCCATGTTATTAAGTTGAATAATAAAAAGTCACCTCACACCTCACAGTGAGGTTTAAAGTGCGCTTCMCTGATGTTGAACTGCTCTGTGTGTCCCTCAGCACTTATTATTTGCCCAGAGAATCCGGCTGTGTCATCATGTGTSCCATGTATGTTTCACCCAGCGGCAACGCAGGCAGAGCTGCTGCTCGCGTTGCAGAGCGCGCACATGAGCAGCTTCGGCATTCATCAGGAGCTCCTATTTTTCTTTTGGTCGATTTCAGTCACTGCAATCCAGAAGTTGAGCTGGCAGTGTGTGCAATTTGACACAGGACAAAAATAATTTCACACTTTCAACACAACTCCAGGACTTCATGAAATTGGTCGCCAGTATGAATCAGACAAAAAATAAATTTTAAAAAATCACAGAATTGGATGACTTACAGAAGGCAGAAGAATTACTTTAATATAARATTTGAGATGCAAAATTACTCAGAAGGATGTTACAAGGTGCTACAATCACTGTGATGTTGCAGCGGCCCCTTTGATAAATCTATCTGATGTGCAGCTTTTCAAAAACTCTTGCACACCAACCGGGCTAACTCTGATGGGCTGTCAGCTTTTCTGTGAAAAAGCTGTGCTGATAAAATCACAGCTGCTAGGTGTCCCTTATTTAAAGGCGCAGTGTGTAGGATTTGTTGTTTTCAGCAACATCTAGA